AATGTGGACTCTGTAGATGTTGAGTGAATAGGTACCATGAATAAGTGAGTGACTTGAAGGAAGCAGGAAGAAGATCGGAGAGGGGGATGCCACACTGCCCAGTCTCATCTCCTTGGTATAAGTCCTTCATTGGTGGGATTATAGGATGAGAAAAGGGGCCCCTGGGAGGCCTGTGGGGATCAGTCTTGGCTGCTGCTGGTGCAATTGACTTCTTTCCAGGACTCATAAAACTCGCTTCTGGCCGAAATCGATTTTAGAAAAAGCTATTATCTAGGTTTCCCCCTACCTTTACAGCTGACATGCTTCTCTCTTCCTGGGATATAAGATGCTAGCAAAAAAATGTCACATTTTTTCTTAAAGTAGGAAAAGGTTTTTTATATGTTTAATTTTTTGAAAGTGCTGAAGTTTCTGTTTTCTTTTAGAAGAAAACTGATTTTTCACTGGGATTTTCTCAAGGGCCACATGCAGGTATACAGAAAAGAGAATGATATGTGTTTGCATACAATTTGCATATATCTGTGTAGACTGGATCATCTATTCTCAGAGTACTTTCTTTTTTTATTTTTTTCAAAAAAAAATTGAATACTTGATCAACTTTTCAATGGAAAGAATCAATAACAGTGAAAGGCAGTGGAAACCACAGTGGAAGTCCCCCTTCATAGAGATCACCTCTTTAGAAGAGTCCCCATCCTCTTCTAGTCTTTTGTAAGATTTTGGATGGTTGTGGTTGCCATGATAAAAAATAGCAGCAGCCATCTGCATGCCAGGATAGCTGTCGTGTATACTTTTATCTCTCTTTTTCCACTCACCAGCCCTTAGAGGTAAATGTTACCCTCAGCCCACCAACAGGAAAACAGGCTTAGAGGGGCAGCAAAATTTGCCCAAGGTCACTCCTGTGGGTAGTGGCAGAGCCATGATTCAAACCCAAGGCTATCTGGCCCCAAGGCCTTTGTTTTTAAACTACTAAGCTGTATTTTCTGCCATTTGTGTACTGCTTGGTGTTTTGTCTTTTGTCCTTGCCATTACCAGGCATAGACAGATACATAGTTTGGCTGTCATTTGAATGGTAGTGGACTCTGTTGCACAATGTTGACGTACCATATTATGTAAACATCTCCCTACTTAGTTTGTTTCCAGTTTCTCAATATTATAGATAGTACAGGTGTAAATATCTTTGCACAAATTAGGGTGGTTTGTTGGAGTTTTTAGGTATTTGATGTGGTCCACAAAGTAGTATTTTTGAGCCAAAGAGTTATAATTTTATGATTCTCCAGGAAGTCTATACCATTAATTCACCCAAGCAGTGATTACTTTTGGAGTGCCCACTGTGTACCAGGTGCTGGACGTGAAGAGGTAATTCAGAAACAGCCTCTCTCTCAGAGAACTAACAGTCTGGTATGGGATGGATGATGTGGCACAGAATGAATGCTACTAAAGTGGGGGTTTAGGCAAGGGGCAGTGAGAGCACTGAGAAACAGTCCCCTGGTAGTATCTGTGAGTGTTCCTTTCCCTTTGCAGCACTGGGCAAGACAGGGGAGGAGCATGATAACAGGGCTGGCTGCAGAGCTGCCTCCTGGCTGAGGACATCCCCGCCAACACCCACGGGCTTTCCTGCAGCCGCCACCTCGCTGCCCATCTGCCACTAGGAGGCGCCGAGCAGAGAAGCTGGTGGGAGGGGGCACCCAGGACAACAGGACTGGGGGCTCCAGCAGTGGGAGGAGTGGCAGCCTAAGCACTCGTCTGTCCTCCAGGCCTCCTCTTCCCCTGTATGCCCACCGCAGCCAGGATGACAACACGGTGCCCAGTCCACACTCATTCAGCAGACAGGAATGTGTGCATGCCTTAAGGGCATATAGCTCAGTGCGTTTTCACGCACACACCAAGCACTGTGCTGGATGCTAGGAATGCAGAAGTGGCCTGACGTGGTCCTTGACCCTGAGTTGTACTTGGTCTAGAGGGTTGGACAGACAAGGGAAGAGACAATCCAACTTGTGTGCTGGAGGTCTTCACAAGTGGCAACAGGAGCATTGAGCTCCCCAGTGAGTCCCCTGGCAGTATGTGAGAGTTCATTTCTCCAGTCCTCCACTCTTATGACTTTTGACTGTGACATTGCCCATCGTCCAACCTGGAATTTCTCCATCTATAAAATGGAGGGAATGATATCTATGTCTGCAAAGGGCCTTCTGACTCAGATATGCCTTGAGCCTAAAGCAAGCCTGAGCTTCTTCCACAGAAGAGCCCCCATCCCTGGTCCCCACTTTAGTCACTGAAGAAAGTCTCCTTTCTCTTCTCCCCCACATGCTCTCCTTACATGGTTTTCCTTGGCATTCTGCCTCTGGCCTTTTCCTTCTCTCTTTCTATGTATGTTCCCATGACTTCAGTTACCACTGTGTACTGATGACACCTACATCTCCATGCTCGCCCCCATCTTCTTCACTGAGTTCGTGACTCATATAACAATGAAAATAATCAGGATTTGCTAAATCCCAGATACAATACTGTAATTACGGTATATTATCTCATCTCATCTGTCCAACAATATTGTGAATTAGGCAGTGCCACCCCATTTTATAGGTGAGTAGAACCAAGTTCAAGAGATGCTGAGACTTTCCCAAGGCCCCAAAGTTGATAAATGATGGGGCCAGGATTTGCAAACCTCTACCTATTGAGCTCCACTGCCCACGCTGTTATCCATCACCCTATATGTCCTAGAGTACAGGCAGCCGCCAAAGACCTATTTCCACTTGGATATTTCACATACGCCTCAATTTCATGTCTAAACTTGGCCTCATCATTTCCCTTCTGTACCAATCTGCCTTTTCCTCTCTTCTCCATTGTAATAAATGGCACCATCAACCCAGTGATACCCCAGCCAGAACCCTGGGAGTCTTCCAGGATCCTTCCTCTCCCTTACCAACCCCCATCTCCCCAACAATCTTCTCCAATCTTCTTCCACATCACGGTGATTTTTCCCCCACTCTGCTCCAACCTCGCTGCTGTTGCTTTCCAAGGCCATTGATCCTGTTCTCTTTTTGGGCTCCTGCAGCAATCTTCTTGCCAGCCTCCCTGCCTCGACTCTGTCTGCTTGAGTCCATCCCCTGCACACCAGCCAGGGCAATCCTTTGCAAACACACATGTGATCACCCCACCTTACTGCTTCAAAACTTCGACTGCTTTCTGTGACTCCACAGCAGAGCTCAAAGCTGGCCACCCATGGGCTGAAATCCATCCAGAAGACATGTTTTGCTTGGTCCAAAATGTTCTTAAAACATTTTGAATTAGTCGCCAACATTGGAAAATCAGGAAATTTCACATAAAAGTTCATATATATTGGCTTCTCTTGCAAAAGTGAAAAAAACTGGTAACTCTGGGTCCACATCCCTTCAGGGCAGTGATTGGATGGAGCTGAGTGGTGGTTGCCCTCTTTAGAAGGGGTGTGGGCTTTTCAGTTTGACAGTCTCCAGCATCCCCTAGCGTCTCTTAGGCCCCGGTCACACCCCTGCTTCCAGTTGTCTGCCTGAGAGTTGGGGCATTTGAGCTCGTGACCCTGGTGCATGGGATGAAGCCCAAATCCCTCAGCATGGCTTCTCGGGTCCTATGTGTCCCAACCTGGAGCAGACCAGCCCTGCCAACCTCTGAGTCTAGTACCTGCTAACTGCCCCATTACACTCTCCCCTGTGGTCCCATGGAACTGTTATCCATAGTTCTCTGAATTGCCCCACTCTTGTCTGCTTCCATGCAAGCTTATGCTTTGGAATTCCTAGGCCCCTCCTTAACACCTATTTGTCCTTCTGGGCTTTGCACCAATACTTGCTCTGCCAAGAAGCATTCCTTGTGCCCCTGGCTGAGTTTTGTTTTCCCATAACAGGTGGCGCAGACCTCAGTCATCCCACCAGCTACCCTATGTTGTAGTTGTTGACTGTGAGTCTGCAATTGCAGGGAAGCTGCCTTCTTTATCTTCCTGTCCTCAAAGCTTTGCACAGGACTTGGAATACACAGGGTGCCTCGTAACTGTTGAGTGAATGGATGAATCAGTGAAAGACTGACTTGGGAAAATAATAGTCTAGGATGTGATGTCACCCCTAATTGCTTGGGGTGGGGGTTCCAGGTCTTTCACTCTTCTGCATTCCCCACTCTGAGTTCCCACTCAGAGTGATACCCACAACATCGTATAAACCATGCCCCCATTCTCCAAGCTCTGGAATACATCCAGCCCTACTGGGATGGTACTTTTTAGCAATGATAGAGGTAAAATACGTCATTTTTGGTATCCCTGGGGGAGAGTTGGCACGTTCTTCAGTTATTTGAATGATAATGATGATAATGCCAGCATCTAACACTCACTGAGCACTTACATTGTACCAGACCCTGAACTAAGAGCTCTCAGTATATTGTTTCATTTATTCCTCCAACACTAAGAAGTAGGTAGTACTATTGTCCCCATTTTATAGGCAAGTAAACTGAGATATGAGGATTTTAAACAACTTTTCACATGGCCCGTAAGCGGTAGAGTCAAGATTTGAACTCAAATCTAACTTCAAAGTTAACATTCTCAATCACTACAGCATACTTCCTCAATGACATTTCTCTTTAGAAACATGAGGAAATAAATACAGGAATGAAGACTATACAATTATCTATACAGTAAGATTGCAAATATTAATTTAGAAAAGAAAGAAAAGAAAATCCTGAGGCATAGAGAAAATGACCAAAGAGACAAACTCGTGAAAATTTTCTTTAATGAGTACATACCACTTTTATGATTAAAAAAAGTCCTCTCTTTGTAGTGACCCCGGAAACAAGTGGCAGGACAGAGGGCAGGAAGGGGCTGGGTTGAGTACCCAGCTAATCAGCGGGGCTGTCTCTTGAGTAGTTGACACTGATCAGTAGAAGGAACAGTCATCAGGCAGCAGCTGTGACCTCAGTACCTGCACCCTCATGGTGCAAAGGTGAAGTGGGTCACTATTCCTGCCATCTCACTATCTCCCCTCTTCCTCCAGGTGCTTACACTCCAGAGCCCCTCAGCAGTTTCCGGTGGGCTCTTCTCTCAACTGGCCTCATGTTCTTTTATCACTTCAGCGTCTTGCAGATCCTCGGCCTGGTAAGTTTGGTTATATCCCCTTCTATCCCCTCTGTTTGCAGTTCTCCATAAATCTCGATAATCCTGGTTGGCGCTGGCGTATCACTTTGTTTTGAAAATACAAGATGCTAAAGGCCAGGATGTCAGATTGTTGTGTCTGGATTGCTGATTTATGATCTACAGCCTTGGCCTCTCCAAAGAGTTTTCTGAGTCTTTCAGTAATGACTGTTTCTTTCATCCCTGGGGAGGCAAGGATGCCTTTCACTCATGGCCACTTGGGTCGGAAACAATGAGCTGCAACTGGAAAGTGGTTTGTTGTGGACCCCATGGGGAGGCAGGACTCTAACCCTGGCCCTTGGCCTGGGGGAGTCTTCTGACCTTGGGTCCATCCTGGTCCCTTTCATAGGCCCTGAAGGCTGGGCTATTCCCTGAGCTTCATGGCCAGTGGAAGTGTGGTGTTGGGGAAATCCTGTGGCATTCTGGGGTGTTTAGAACTTCCTGGAGTCATGAAGAATGGTTGGACTCAGTAGCTGAGTTATCCAGAGCCCAAAATTGCTGAGTGTAAGAGTGTATATCAGTGGCAAAATGAGTAGGAAGAGCTCAGGGCTGGAGCTGGGGGTCAGGAGACCCAAGTTCAAGTCCTGGCTCTGCCACTGCTCTGAATGAGTCACCTCATCCTTGAGGGCAGAGAGTTCTCCACCTCTCTGTGACATGGTATAAAAGCCCCAACTTCCCTGAGAGGTGGTGAGGACTCGTCTTTAATGTGAACAGGCTTGAAGGGCTTTGGAAGGCAGGTGCCGCGACCGTCCTTGGGGCAGGTGTGGCATGTCTGGTTTTGTGTGCAAGCGGCAGTAATGTAGCATTGGCCATGTGGAACCTCGCGTGACCTAGCATGACTAGGGCGTGTAACCGATGTCCCCAACACCTTTGTAGACGCAATCACTTTCTCTTCCTCATTTTGGTGGTGTATGGCTCTGCTCTGGTTTGCTGGGGGCTTAGTCTGAGCTCCTTGCCAACAGTGTGAATGCTTCCCGCGCTCTCAGGAGGAAGCCATACAAAGTTCACACCCTTACCACTCGCTGCTCTCCACTGGGACCCAGATTCCAGGGGCATCGGTGTGCTCATGTCACTCTACATACCATGCTCAGGCAACGCTGCCTACAAGGAGGGCAACCCTCACCCCATTCCTCAACGTAAACCCCCATCCATCTTTCATGAGTCCATTCAGGTACTACTTCTGTCATGAAATCTTCTCTGAGGACTCAGCCCCCATACTGTATACTCCTCAGACCTCCTCATGGTGTATAAAGCTGGGTGAGCCCTGTCTGGTTTGGGGTCAGATGTAGTAAACCTTTGACCACCCCCACCTGATTGATTGCCGGTTACGTGGAGGCAGGGACCACGCTGTGGGCTGTACTTTTAGCCTGCAACACCTCTCTGGGGACCAGGCACATAGTAGATGCTCAGGAATGGCAACAAGTTCTGGGCCCAACCGGAAGGCAAGACCGTGAGCAAAACTGAACAGCTTTTCCACTGGACAGCCCTCCCCCATCACCTCCAGAGGCCTCTAGCCTTGACTCACTCAGAAAACCGAGGGGAGAGAAGAAATCCCTTTATAAACAGGTGGGGATTGGTCAATCCCTCCTTGTCTAGTCCCCCATTAGGTAGAGATGGCCGAACTGGCAGAAGCCAGAGAAAGCCTAAGGATGGTGAACGCTCACTCTACCTCCCTTGTCCCTGCAGGTCACCGAAGTGAATTTGAACAACATGCTGTGTCCGGCCATCTCAGACCCATTCTACGGCCCCTGGTATCGCATCTGGGCCTCGGGACACCAGACTCTCATGACCATGACCCACGGGAAGCTGGTCATCCTGTTCTCATACATGGCTGGGCCCTTGTGTAAATATCTGCTGGATTTGCTCCGGCTTCCAGCCAAGAAAATAGACTGAAGGTGCTTATTTTTTTTTTTTTTTTTTTCTCCCTGAGGAAGCAAGTCGTGACTTGACTTGGAGAACACCCAGTTCTTGATGAAATCATGGGAGAGGGCAGTAGGATGTTTGGTGTATTTCTTTTTCCTCCTTTCTGTCCCTTTCTTCTACCACTCTTCCTTCCCCAGCTCTTCCCCCTAGGATGTCTCCTTGAGCCTGGGGTGTAGTGCTGGGCGCTGGATTTTCCTCCTTCCCTTTGGCTCTCTCTCTGCTCCTAGTGGCCTTACATGGGGAGATTGCAGTGAGCGGCTGTTTCACTCTGCTTGTCGGTGCTTTAACAACAGCTGGTTGAGGAGAAAGGGAACAACAAGTAGTAGTAGTTCTTTTGGCATCGAAGCAATGAGATTGCGTTGTGTTTCATTTCTCCACTGCCAGGGACCTCCAGGCTTATGCTGGCGTCCCATTTAGTCTCCAGCACAGCTCTTACCACAGGGAACTGAGGCCTTGTTTCTATACCAGCGGCAAGCCCAGAGCCGAGGGATTTCACAGCTCACGGTCAAGACAGAACCAGCCAGATTGTGGTCACTGGTGTCCCATGACTCAAAGTAAGCAGCCAACCAGCACTCGTAAGCAGCCAACCAGCACTCCCTCCAGGATGCTGCCTGGGATGGGAGGTGAGAGCACCACGCAGCCCAAGGGCTAGATTGCATTGAGAGGGTTGGAGACCTGTTGCAATGACAAATCCAAAGTGAAGAGGGTCAAGATATATACAGTACTAGGCCGGACCCTGTGTAAATTCTGCCTGTGAGAGTTGAGAACTGATGCATATCCCAATCAGAAGTGAGCACAGAAAACTGTGATTTGAATCATACACTCTGTTTTAGGTAAATGCTGATAATAGATATGATTTTAATCTTGAGTGCCCCTTAAATGTGTTCCCTCTCCCTCCCTCCCCTTCCCCCTCTCTCCCTCTCTCCCTCTCTCCCTCTCTCAGGCAGCTTCAGGGAAGAATGAGCTGGAATTGGCTGGTTGATTGGTTTTTGAGTTTGGAGAATCCTTGCATCAGGGCCCAGTTCTGGAAGACCCTGTAGATCTGTGTCTTGGTTTTACAGGGAATGTCAGCATCCTGGGTTTGAGCAGCTATAGCTCTTGCCACTGTTGTTTCCCTAGGGCCAGGTTTCTGCAGTGGACCCAGAGTCAGTGCTGAATCGTTTAATGTGGGGGACATCACCTCCTCCTCATCCTGTCTGCCCCAGAATCTTATGTCTAGATTGAAAGGGGGCTGCCAAGGAATTCGGTCCTCGTGGGTGGAGGTTCAGGTGCTCCACAAGGAGAAACTTTCGTTGAATGACTTCAGCTCAGTTATGCACAGACCTCGAGCAGGCAGGAAGTGGCTGGGCATTGCTGACTCTTCATTGACTCTCACTAGGAACAGATTTGCTTAAGAACAGAAAAGATCATTTGGTGACTTTGTCTGGTGAGCCTCCCTTCCCCTCTCCAACTCTGGGCAATGCAGTTGACCTAGGCCGGTTCCAGTATTTCTAGTTTGACCATGTTCAACTACATTGAGCTTCGGTGCCTCAGTGGTCATAATTTTAGCAAATGGACCTATGGGAAGCCACCCTGGGAGGGACGGTCGTTCTGCAGAGGCCTGAGGCATTGAGGCTATCAATCCCCAGGGCTTGGGGAGCAGGAGGGGAGAACACCAAGTGCTCTTACTCTCCTGAGCTCCTTTTGATGTGTAAGCTTTGTTTTTGCCCTCGTTGAAGGCAGGGCCAAGCTTTTCTTAGTGCCTCTTACCCTCCAGTGGCCCTCCAGTGGAGGCGCTTCTTGAATGGCTGCATTGGCCCTGCCCACCATCCAACTGCTACATGTAGGAATTGCTGATGAGGAAATGCACAACGCCTCAGTGCCCCTTGGCCTCTTTACAAAAGGAGAAGTTGGAAGGGGATTGTGGGAGGAGCCCCTGGGGGCCTGGCCTGTCCTCCACCAGAGCTTGGAGTTGCTGCCAGCAGAGGATCTGTGCCTCAGCTGAGAACTAGCTGCGGAATGTCATAGGGGTGTGCCTGTGTACGCCCTCTGCTCCTCCTCGTTTCTGTGGCATGGCACAGGTTGCCTGGTTGCTCGAGCTTTCCCCATGTTGGCATGCTTGCCTTCGCTCTGTCTACAGCTTAGCACCCCATTCTGGAGGGCACTTTCTGGTGCTTGGAAGGAGAGAAGAAAGCAAAAGCCACATACTTGGCATGGCCAAGCCAGAGACAGATCCACCTGTCAGGGGAAGGAAGAAGTAAAAGGGGCATGCAGGGCTTTGGGGGGCCAGATTGGCTCAGAAACATGTAGGTCAAAAGAACAGAGGGCCGAGGCGGGAGGATCACGAGGTCAGGAGATCGAGACCATCCTGGCTAACATGGTGAAACCCCGTCTCTACTAAAAATACAAAAAACTAGCCGGGCGTGGTGGCGGGCGCCTGTAGTCCCAGCTACTCGGAGGCTGAGGCAGGAGAATGGCGTGAACCCGGGAGGCGGAGCTTGCAGTGAGCCGAGATCGCGCCACTGCACTCCAGCCTGGGTAACACAGCGCGAGACTCCGTCTCAAAAAAAAAAAAAAAAAAAGAACAGAGGGGGCCCAGTCTATAGGCTTCACAGGGAGCCATGGCCTGTATTTGGGGCACTGGGGAGCAGCAAGCATCTGAACTGGCCTGGATCTCACTCTTATCTTGGGCCAAGCCAACGTGGAGAGAAGCAACCCAAGCAGACTCCTGGCAGCCTGCCTTACAGGGTAGCCCGCCTTATAGGGTAGCTCTCATATCTGCGCAGTGCCGGCCCTCTACTGCCCCGGCTTTGGTACAGGACTGAGGGAGAAGCCGGAGCTTGCACACCCAGTGGCCAGTGGGGCTGTCTTCCCAGCTCCTCCTCAGGGCTTTCCTGTCAGTGCCAAGCCAGTTCCCCAGCCAGGTTTCCATGTGTCATTTGCCAGTGTGTGGGAGCTCTGCGCGTGTGTGAGGGTGTTTGTAGAAGAGGGCAGTTTCCTTTCAAATGGCCTCAGGAAGGAAAAAGAGTGCTCCCTTCAGCCCCCAGGTAGCCTTGGCCAGGGATATGGGCCGAGGAGAACAGTCTGTGGAGCTGGCCAACTTGTGGCATCCACTCGAAATAGCAGAGACCCAGTCACGCCTACTTCCAGTCTTCCCTGCCCTCAGTATTTGGTTTTGTACACCAAAGATGATCTGGCCCATCTTCCTCCCAGAGACACAACAGTAACACGTTCCTCTGTCAGCCTGTGAAGGCATGCAGGGTTCTGAAGCCACAGACTCAGTCTCCCCAAGTCAGCAATCTCTTTCTCTCTCTCTCCTCAAACTTCATCGCAGTCATAGAAGCTGCTTGCAGGGTCGCCGGGCTAACCAGGGTGATCGGCGAACTTTACCGTACAGTACCTCAGTCTAGCTGTCAGATCATCCCTTTTGCTGTAGCCTCTGTTGGGGTTTTTATATTTGTGATCATTGGTAATTCGGTGTCTTATGAAGTGGGCACAGCTCCCCACAGAGAGCAAGTTGTCAGCAGGTCTCTGTGCACTGGTGTTGGGGCAGGGCAGTGCCCTGGGGGTGAGCGAGGTGGCTCAGGGCAGAAGGGCCCTGTTCCCCCCTCCCTCTGCCAAAAAGACTTCCTTGGATTTGTAGACATTGACCCAGAGTCATCTGTCCCCTCCTGAAGAGAATTTTCTTACTGGTTTCTACTGAAGGGGAGGTAGGGGAGGAGGAAAAAAGGACCATGTGTGATGCTGTTAGACAAGACACTGATGCTGATTATTCAGGGTCTCCTGCAGGCCCTTGTGGGCTCCTTGGCAAGGCCCCAGGCTGGGAAGGAGCTCCCCCCACAGCCCATCCTGCCCACACTGTGGTGGGTAGAGTCAATGACAGGGAGGCAGCCCTCCTATTGTGTATATAGAGTGGGCTGATTTGGGCTCAGGAAAACCTAGTCGCTTGTTGCTCTTGTCTGTGACATTTTTGTACACTGGTTTGCTACTCATGGCAAGAAACAGACAAAACCCCATGAAAAACAAAACAAAACAAAAGTCATTTCAAACAAAGCTGTTGTTTTGAAAACTCTTTCTTTTGGTGTCCATTTTGTGTTCTATTTTAAAGAATCTTTCATTTATATTGGTATTACTGTAGTGAAGAGAATATGATAGGCTGATCTGTAATGGTTTCTGCCAGGAGCTTAGCAAATGCCTCTGCCCCTCTTCCCCTACCCCTGTCCTTCCTCAATTCCCAGCTGGGATTGCTATGCACTGGGCAGACCCCTCACTGTCTCCCCTGAACCCCCGCACAGTGGCTGCCCTTAGAACCAATCTTTATACTCTCCCAAAACAGCAGCAGGCTGAGGATTTTTGTCAGGCTGGCTCTTGAGTGCTCTGTGCCCCCACCAGTTTGCTCACCTCTTGGGGCATTTTGTAATATGTTTTCTCTGTCTTGTAAAACCTTTTGATTGTACCGAAATGGTTTCTGCAGTCGCCTTTGGAAATAAATAGTCATTAATTTGTGTACTTAGCATTCTGAATTTTAGTCTCAGGTGTTTCTGTTGTTGAAGATCCTTGAATGAAAAGGAACCCTCACCATGGGGCTTACTGTTATAATGTTTCTTAATTTACTGTTATTAAAAGATATATGAGAACCCAGGAGTCCTGGCCTTGCTTCCCAGAACCCTCTCAGAAGGCCCTCTGCTTTGAAAAATAGACAAAAGGGGCCTCTGGCCCTCTGTGCTGTGGAAGACCCTCAAAGGACAGCTGGGCTGTCTCAGCACACCTTTGTCCTGGGAGCTGTGTGGCTGGTTGGCCTTGAATTCCCACACATTGCCTACTTCTGCCAGGGACCCAGCAGGCCATTTGCTCTTAGCAGAGGGCTTGTCTGCCAGGCACATTTGCTGGGCTCTCTGGGACCCAAAGTGCACTGGGCTAGGCTGGAGGACTGAGCTGGAGAAGGCAAACACATTCAGGCCCACTCAACCCAAATTTCCTGAGGGTCAGCTCTGCACCAGCACTTCTCAGCACAGTCCTGCACCCAGCATGGGCTGGACCATGAACGAGATAGCCTTACCCTTTGGAAGCAGACCTGCTTTTCCAAGGCTACCTGCTGAGCAGCCCATGATGACTGTGATCGGCCCTTTTACACAGGACAGAGGCCCTGTTCAGGCTTTCGCCTGGGCTGCTGTTTCTAGAGGGGAGAGGTAGCCAGATAGGGAGGGGTAGCAGAGCTGAAAGGCACAGGAAGAAAGGGGGCCAGATATGGCAAACGGGAAGGACAGAAAGAGGCTGGTGGAGAGGAGGTGAGGAGAGTTGGTTCGTGTTCTTCCCCATGTGTTCTTTTTCAGGAAGAGAGCTAAAAAAGACAGTGACCTAAGCCATTGCCATCCCTACCCCGGGCAGTCTTTGTACAGCTAGCCAGACCTGGCAGCCAGTGCAGGTGGATCTCCTCATTTGCCAGTGGTTGGGCACCCAGGCTATGAATGAGGCAGGGACTTGCAATCGTGGACTAGAAGATTAGCAGCCTAGAAAAGTCACTTATCTTGCTGCCTCAGGTTCTTTATCAGCAAAGTAGTAGCTCCAACTGCTTGCCAGGCATGGAGCTAAATCCCTCCCGTTACCTCTTAGAATCCCCATCAAAGTACAGTTAGCTGACTGGCAATGCTGTCCTTGTATGGTAGGGAGAAACTGAGAACATGGAGGCTCACTCATAAATGGAGGAGCTGGAGTTGGAAACTGGTTTTGTTAGACCCCAAAACTCACATGCTCTCCACTCTCCACCAGCTTCCACTGCCTTTCCAGTGTGCTGGCATTGCTGGGTAGACCCTTGCCCAGGGGCCCCTGGTCCTTATAGAAGTGGAAAGAGAGCCGCGCAGTGGTGTGGAAGATGAGAGAGAAAGGGGAGGCCCACAAGTGCAGAAAGCAGAGGAATCATGGCCTGTCAGCAGCAGCCTCAAAGCAGAGCTGAAAGGCACAGGAAGAAAGGGGGCCAGGCAAAGGGGAAGGATGGAAAGAGGCTGGTGGAGAGGAGGTAAGGAGAGTTGGTTCGTGTCCTTTCCCCATGTGTTCCTTTTTAGGAAGAGAGCTAAAAAAGACAATGACACAGGCCATTGCCATCCCTACCCTGGGCAGTGCATCTGCCCCTACCACCATGCCCAAACCCACTGTAGTCTGTATTCCCTCCTGCAGGCCACAGTCTTTTCAAATGCAAATCTGCATCACTTCCCTGGGCCCCTCACGCTCTAGAATATAAAGCCCAGGCTCTTGCATGTAACACACAAGCCCTGGGCTCTGTAAGCATCTTCAGCCACATCTCCTCCACCCCACACTCCCAAAAGAAGCATGCACAGAGACCCTTCACTCCGGTGGGACCGTACTCCGCTTTGGCATGCCGCCATTTCCCAGGTGCTTGCCATTTGTTTCCTTTGTGCTGTTTTCTCAGCTCCCCACTCTCCCGTTTCATCCTAAGGCCTCCACACGAAGGTTAGCTCCTCTTTGCAGTCTTCCCCAAGCCCCAGGCTACGTTAGGTGCTGGTCCACTTTGCTCCTACAGCACCTGGTACTAACTCTGGCCACCATTTGCCCCCCCACCCCCACCCCCCACGTGATTCATTACTGGTCTTTCTCCCTCTGTAGACGTTAAGCTCCTTGAGGGCCAGGTGGGATCTGATTCATCTTCCAGCCCCCGGTCCAGGATCCGTTCCGTAAGAAAGTGCTCAGTGAACAAGGATCTTCCAGCTGAGTGCTCAAATATGGTAGGGGGCACCACTGTTCTCTGATGGAGAACCCTAGGCTTCATAAGCCATGCCCATCCCATGAATTCTCCTGGATGGGGCTGGGATGCCTTTGTTTGCCCAGGCACCTCAAGCTCCTTGCCGAGGGGCCCCATCCTGCTTCTCTGCAGGGCTCTGTATAGTTGGTGTCCTGGATAAGGAGGCAGTATTGTGAGGGAAAAGCTCTAAGACCAATGGCAACTGTTCCACCTGACTCTTCCCTGGACCTCTGGGCCAGGTGTCCAACTGCTTTTCCATATCCTCCATAGCTGTTCTTCACCACCAGGGTCACCCCTTCCTTCCCTGGAGGCACACAGAGTTGGTGTTTGCATGGCAAAAGCCCCACCAGCCCATGGAATGTGTCATCCACCCCCGATGGGTAGGGAGCAGCTTGAGATGGTTACAGCCTGATCCCCCAATGAGCTTTTGCCTTGTCCTGGTTTGCCAATGCCAGTGGAGGGACAGAAATACACCGATGTCAGTCTGACAAATGCAATGATTTAATCAAAGGATGTGTGCTTTGCTAACCTTGGCAACAGGCAAGGTCGACGTAGTCGAAAGTCAAGGACTCTGTCACTGCCTGAACCCACCCTCCCCACAGTCAGCACTCTGCCCAGCATCCGAATTGCACACCTGGGATGTCTGAGCTGTTGGGCAAAGGGGTTTAAGAGCCAGGGAGGCAGTAGGGAGAGGCTTCTCCTGTGGCTACTGGATGCCCTCCACAGCTGACTTCTTAACTTTTAATAACTCCTGCATCCCAGCCAGCCGGTAATCTCTGCATTTCACACCGAGGCAGGTCTTTGCAATGGGGGTGGATGCTTCCTTGACACATCCCTGCTAGGAAACAGGGCCAGTAGCATGAGTCACAGAGCTGTTCTCCTGTCCAACAACCTATTCTCAGCCCCACCACTGCTCCAGCCAGCAGGCCTCTCTGCTCCCTTCCACACTTCCCCTCTCCATCCAAGGGGCTTGCCCAGGTGATGCCAACCTGCCATTGTTGTCCCTTCGCTATACTCAGGAGGCTCATGCTTTTTGGTCTTGCATTTTTAGAAAGACCTTGGGCTCGCTAGTATTCTGCCCCCTGAGAACAGAGGGACCTTCCTGTGCATTCCAAGACATACACTCAGATTTCTAGCATGTTGGAGCTAATAAGATGCCTCTAGTACAGTGGATCGTTGATTTTGTTGCACATTTATCACCTGGGGAGCTTTAAAAATCTCAGTGCCCAGGCCTCACCCAAGCTTATAATTCAAAGCAAACTTCTTTTGCTTTCAAGTCTCCAGGCAGGTTCTGAGTCATCTCTTTGACCTGACCATCTATAGCAGTGCCTTTTAAAAAAATGAAATATTTAAGATATACCAAAGGTATGAAGAATAATAACTGAATCCCGCTTAAAAAAAGAACATTACCAATCCAGTTGAAGCCCCCTTGCTCTAGAGGTTTACAGATTCTTCCTCAGCACCTCAGGGATGCTGGGAGAAGTCACCTCCGGCAGCAGGGGATGCATGGCAGTGGAGTGGGCGGTGCTCTGGCCTTTCCCCTGGCTTCACCCAGAACAACTCCAGTTTTATTCTGTTTTGTATATTGAGGTTTTGTAAATAACTTTGTTGGGAAAAGGACCTAAAAGTTACTTATTTACAACCTCAGTAGTTATGTCTCTATCCTTTGCCTTAATAATAGTTGTTGTCCTGTAGTAGTCAAACCAGCCTTGTAGCAGGACTGAGCAGGCAGGGCCCGCTGTCCCAGTTCTTCCCTTTCAGGTCCCGAGTGCCCTTGGCAAAGTCATACCTTTCCTGAACTCCGTTTGTAAAATAGTAATAAATACCCTTGTCTAGCTTACCCCACAGGACATCTATGAGGAATCCAGTGAGATCAATGGGTGTGAGAGGGCTCTATAAAGTTCTGTCCAGTGGAAGGTGTTCCTATTTCCAGACAGTTTGGTTACTATGCTTGTTCTCAGAGCGCAGAGGTTAGCTGGGGTTTTGACTGCACTCATACCCAATCTGCCTTAATGTGCCCTGTGTGGTTGTGGTCTGTGGTGTGTTTGTGAGTGGGTGTTTGTGTGTAGGGCAGGTGATACCTCAGTTTATTTCATGGACTCTAAGACACATTTTTTTTTTTGCATTTTAACATCATTAAAATTGGAATGCATCTTAAAATCAGTGGCATGACAGTTTAATCAGCAACTTTCTTCTTTTTCAGCAGTATATAAAATAACAAGACATCTTATAATCTAAGGCATATTAGAATCAATGAAATACTGTAATTGTTAACTTAGATTCCTCTTCCTCTTCCCGCATGAAAGTCACCTTCTTGCTAGAGAAAACCGTTTTGGAAAAATGTACAGACTTTTAGCTTACAGCCTCATTCTAACACTCCTCTTTTTCTTCCCTGCCAGCATCCACCCAGGCCAGGCAAGCTTTCTGCTTCTTGACCAGAAGGGGACCCACTTTGTTGAGCTCTCTCTTGAGACAGATGGTTTGTGGGACATGAGAGGGAAGAGGCAGAGTATACCTGCATAAGGAAGCCCACTGTGCCAAATGACAGGGAAGGAGTCAGACAAGCTAGGCCACCCAGCCCAACAGCAGCCTGGCCAGACAACTCAGCCTACTTCCCTGGGGAACTCCTAGGGCTAGTCATTGCCAGAGGTGAGGTAAGCTGGCAGAAGTAGGGGTGGGGTGTGAAGCCCAACATGTCCTGAACTCCCTCGGTTAATATGAGTGGCTGTCTGGCCCATGCAGAAGAACACACTGATTTCCCTACCTCCTCCAACAAGGTCGAAGAAGAGTCAGGTAGTAAGCCTTTCAAGGAAAAGCAGCACTTTGTCCTAGGGTACCCTGAGCCATGGGCATTTCACTGCAGTTAGGAATTGCCACCAA